TTCTCACCTCCGGACGTCACTCCCGAGTGCGCCATGCAAATAATCCCCCGCCGACGCGCTCCGATTGGCCAAGGCAAAGTCATTTAATCCCGCTTCGGTGCGCCGTGTATGGCTGCGGGGCTCTTTGCTGGATGCCTCTCCCGGCTGCTGCTCCTCCTTTCCTGATTCCTCCCGAGCGAGAGGAGGGAAAACCGCGGAGAACAAATTACGGCGCAAGTTCTGCTGCTGCCTGGCTGGAGGCGCTTTGCTTCCCACCCTCCCCTCGCCCTCCCCTCCCTCGTCTTTACGGTTTTCTTTCTTTCCTTCCTTCCTTCCTTCTTTCCTTCTCATTCACCCCCTCCCTCTCTCTGGCTCCCCCCCCCGCGCGCTTTGTCATTTAATTACTTCTCTTTCTCTCTCTCTCTCCCTCTCTCCCTCCCTCTCTCTCTCTCTCGTTTCTACGTGGGGCGGAGGTGGGAGAGGGGGAGGGGGCATTTCCTGTCTCTTTTCCTCTGTTCACTTGGGACCAGCGGATGCGAGTCACACACGCTCGCTCGCTTGCTCCCTCCTCTCTCTCTCTCTCTCTCTCTCTCCCCCCCCCTCTCCCTGTGGAAGTTAGTGAAGGGGGGGCACATTAGATCACTTCAGCAGCAGCTTAAACGAGGGGAGTCAGCCTTGCATTTCTGCGGAACGCGCGCGGGGTAACGCGGAGGACCGTGGAAAGGCGCCGAGAGCCGGGCACACACCCCGTTGCCTCCCACCTTCTGGCCAAAGTGGAGCAGCCGTGACTCTCTCTCTCTCTCTCTCCCTCTCTCTCTCTCTCCTCCCCCCCGTCGCTCCTTCTCCAGCCCTTTCCGCCTTGCACCTGTTTGAGTCGCTTCTGAATCCAGCTGGTCGCCCGCCCGAGCGGTTTTTCCACCGAGGGAGAAAGTTTGGCTGCCTGAGGAGATTCCCGCGCGCGCGCTTTCGGCTCTCCGAGCTTCGAGGGGGAAACGCGTCCACACGGGCGCGCAGACACGCGCACATTTGGGGGCTCAGGGGGGGCCCTCTTCCTCACCTTTGATCGTCGTGGTGAACTCTTACATAATTTTCTTCGCCTCGGCGCAGCAGCTCCTGTTTCCCGCCCAGAGTCGCCGTCCGCCTTGTTGGTCCCTTGCCGCTTCTCTCCCGGTCTCGCCGCCGCCGCCACACGCGCTTCTTCTTCGCCCGCTCTATGTTTTGACGCTGTGTCGCCTGGTGGCCCCCGGAAAGCTGCGCGAATGTATAGCATGATGATGGAGACGGACATGCACTCCCCCGGTGGAGCCCAGGTCGCCACCAACCTCTCGGGCCAAACCGGAGCTGGAGGCGGCGGCGGCGGCGGGGGCCCCAAGGCCAACCAAGACCGGGTCAAGCGGCCCATGAACGCCTTCATGGTGTGGTCACGGGGCCAGCGGCGGAAGATGGCTCAGGAGAACCCCAAGATGCACAACTCGGAGATCTCCAAGCGCCTGGGCGCCGAGTGGAAAGTCATGTCCGAGGCGGAGAAGCGACCCTTCATCGACGAGGCCAAGCGGCTGCGGGCGCTGCACATGAAGGAGCACCCGGATTATAAATACCGGCCCCGGAGAAAGACCAAGACTTTGCTCAAGAAGGACAAGTACTCG